GGATGGTTCATTGTTTATTCCGGAGAGGATATCATATCAACAATTGGTAGAAATGATTAATGAAAATTGTTGGTTCGGAGAAGGTTGGACAATGAAGGAGATTACTTTAATAGTTGAGCAACGCGATGGTTCGTTGAATTTTTTAAGATTCAATAACGAAAGTGTTCTTCAGTATATTTATTCCCTTACGCCTATGTCCATGGTGTATTTGCATTTATCGTTGGAGGCAATTACACCGGTTACACAGGTTGAGGATGTGTGGGGGTGTTACGGGGGAGAGGTGGATGTTGACGGTACGTCGACTTCCCATCTACGTAATTTTGGAGAAGGGACAAGCTCAACAATGCAATGGGAAAATGAGAACTGAGAAGAAGAAGAAGGCGATGAAGATTTCATTCCTAGTGAAGATGATTTCACAGATGAGACCTCCGAAAGCGAATCAGACACATCGATAAATGAGAAGAGTGAACCAAAATTGATTGAAGAGGAAGACCCTCTTCCTAGTGGTGGTCGCCACATTTATCGCGAGATGGGTGAATGGGAGCCATCGAAGATAGATGAGAACGATTATGCTCTTCCACGTTGGAATGGCAACATTGAGACCATACGTTTGGGTACAGTTTTTGGAAGCAAGGAAGAAGCATAATGGGGTCTGTTAGCTTGGAACGTTGATAGGCTGAGGGCGGTTCGGACAATAGATTCTAATCAAAAGTCATGCAAAGTGGTGTGCATATCTAATGAGGATGAACCTTGTGTGTGGAAGGCTCGGGTGACTAAGAAACGGGTTCATGAAATGTGGGAAATAACTGAATGGACTGACAGACACATTTGTATGCAACGGGTCGAGAGAAATGACCACAAAAACGTAACCGCCCGTATGATTTCAAATCTTGTAATTAACAAGATTGAAAAGAAACTGGACTACAACGTTAGACTTATCCAGGCCGATGTGAAACAGTGCTGGAAAGTCGATGTCAGCTACAAGAAGGCGTGGCATGGAAGGAGAAAAGCCATCGAGCGTGTGTATGGCTGTTGGGAATCGAACTTCGCAGAACTCCCTCGGTAAGTAAAACTTAATTACAAATACATGTGTCGTTTGTCGGTCACTATGTTTATCTACTTACGAAACTGTATTGTAATTTTGCAGGTATTTCCCCGCGCTTCAAAGAGCGAATCCCACCACAGTTGTACAGTGGGAATGGCAGGGTGGGGAAATGGCGCATCAGTATGAAGACAGACAATTCAAATTTGTATTCTGGGCGTTTGGTCCAGCCATTCAGACCTTCCAACGATGCTCGCCGGTCATTAGCATCGATGGCACACACTTGCGCGGATCGTACAAGGGAAAACTGCTTGTGGCTATAGCACAGACAACGAATAAGCGGCTATTGCCAATCGCCTATGCGATTGTTGATGAAGAAAGCAAGGATAGCTGGTCATTTTTCCTTACAAATGTGCGGCAATATGTTGTGTTCGACCGACAGATCTGTGTTCTCTCCGACAGGGATAACGGCATACTCAGTGCCATTGACTCGTTGGTTGGTTGGCAAGAACCCGCTGCATATCACCGGATTTGCCTTCGACACCTTCGAAGCAACGTGGTCACTAACTTTAGGAATAAGAAAGTGCGTGATTGGTGTTGGAATTTGGGTTCGCAATTGTCGGAGCGAAAGTTTCGAGCGACAGAACAACGATTGTTGGAATTTAATCCCAAGGCACACAAGTACCTTTTCGACATTCCTTTGGACAAGTGGACACTGTATGGAGATGAAGGAAGACACAGATGGGGCACATTGACGACCAATATGTCGGAGAGCTACAACAACGTATTGAAAGGCGTTAGGTTCCTGCCGTGCAGAGCTTTGGTACAGGCGACATTGGAAAAAACTCTTAATTTGTTCGAACATGAACAAATGAAGGCCACGAGATGCATGAGTCCCATTGCTACTGAGCACTATAACGCCTATTTGCAATTGGAGCGTATAGCCGCAACCCATGAGGTCAAATGTGTGAACGCCGAAATGTCCAGGTACAGGGTGAAAACCGGTCTTCGGGCTAGTGGGAGAGGGCAAAACAGGTATATGTTTTTTTTTTTTCCATCCAAATATTTGGATGTTTATATATATAAATCATTATTTGTGTTAACAGCTATAAGGTTAATTACCCCCGGAAACGTTGTAGTTGTCTGAAGTGGCAGACACACAGGAAACCGTGCACTCATGCAATAGCTGTAGCTCGTCAAATCAGGACTGATCCAAAGTTGTTGTACGATAATGCATTTTGGACGGAGACTTGGGTAGCTCAATTTACTAATTGGGGTTTCGCTCCAGTTGGTACTGCGGATACATGGGCGCCGGTGGGGTGGAATTTGATACCACATTGGGAGAGGATGATCTTGAAGCCTGGACCCGGTCGCAAGCAAACGAGACGCTATCGCATGCAAATGGATCGTCGGGCGCGCCGCAGGAATGATAGGGGACAGTGTTCCAGATGTGGTAATCCCGATCATGTTGTCGATGAGTGTCCGTCCTCACATCCTCCCACCGATAGGTCTAGACTTCGTGATGAGTGGGGAAACTAAATTTGTTAGGGTTTATTCGGATGTGTTTGGAGGGTTCATTTGGATTTGGTTGGATTGTTAATTTGTTTTGATTGGATGGTTTATTTTATTTGAATTTGTTTGGATGATTTATTTTGAATATTTAGTTGGTTGTTTTGAATATTTAAAACAGGTATTGGATGCTTTGAATATTTAAAACAGGTATTTTTTTGTTAAGAAATAATAGGGGTGTTTTTTTCAAAAAAATAACAGTTAAAAACGTATTTTAATAATACGTTTTTAGAAAAATTAGTAATACAATTAATTAATTGTAAAACGTATTATGAGAATACGTTTTACAATTGATTAATTGTAAAACGTATTCTCAGAATACGTTTTACAATTACAAAAAAATGTAACTAAGGATCCCAGATTCAGGACTCGAACCCAGGATCGGGTGAGTCCGTTATGTCTGGGGGCACCTCGTTACCATTAGGCCGCACTAGGCTATCGCTGCTATTTCTACACAACTTTTGTTCTTATCCTTCAACATCTATATTTTGTATATTATATAGTATTTATAATATATACATATATGTTATAATTTATATAAACATATGTATTATATATAGTATAGTATATAACATATCTATTAATAGTATACTATTATATACTATATACTATATGCTATATTAGTACAATACTATATACTATATACTATAACATATTATTATAACATATTACTATATACAATATTACTATAACATATTATTATAACATATTCGAGTTCAATTTCACTATAATTGACTTCAATTGTATTAAGTTGACTTCAATTGTACTAATTTGACTTCAATTGTACTAATTTGACTTAGTACAATTGAAGTCAACTTAGTACAATTGAAGTCAACTTAGTACCATTCAAGTCAAATTAGTACAATTGAAGTCAACTTAATACAATTGAAGTCAATTATAGTGAAATCGAACTCGAATTAGTACAATTGAAGTCAAATTAGTACAATTGAAGTCAACTTAGTACCATTCAAGTCAAATTAGTACAATTGAAGTCAACTTAATACAATTGAAGTCAATTATAGTGAAATCGAACTCGAATTAGTACAATTGAAGTCAAATTAGTACAATTCAAGCCAACTTAGTACAATTGAAGTCAAATTAGTACAATTGAAGTCAATTATAGTGAAATCGAACTCGAATTAGTACAATTGAAGTCAAATTAGTACAATTGAAGTCAACTTAGTACCATTCAAGTCAAATTAGTACAATTGAAGTCAAATTAGTACAATTGAAGTCAATTATAGTGACATCGAACTCGAATTAGTACAATTCAAGTCAATTATAGTGAAATCGAACTCGAATTAGTACAATTGAACTCGAATTAGTATAATTGAAGTCAACTTAGTACAATTGAAGTCAACTTAGTACAATTGAAGTCAATTATAGTAGAATTG